GGGACCGAAACAGAAAGTTGTCGCCACTCACCCCTTATTAGTTACTTTTAAATAAAGATTTGTATTTTCCTCCCTGTTTTCTGTAGATGTCTTCAACTACGTAATGACATTACTGTATTGTTTCAAGGGACGTGGCCCAGTAGGACACGTCGGGGATGTACACACCATATTGCCATACGTGGCCCAGTAGGAAACGTCGTGGATGTACACATCATACTGTCATACGTGGCCCAGTAGGACACGTTGTAGATGTACACACCATATTGTCATACGTGGCCCAGTAGTACACGTTGTAGATGTAGACACCATAGTGTCATACGTGGCCCAGTAGGACACGTCGTGGATGTACACACCATATTGCCATAAGTGGCCCAGTAGGACACGTCGTGGATGTACACCCCATATTGCCATACGTGGCCCAGTAGGACACGTCGTGGATGTACACCCCATATTGCCATACGTGGCCCAGTAGGACACGTTGTGGATGTACACACCATATTGCCATACGTGGCCCAGTAGGACACGTCGTGGATGTACACACCATATTGCCATACATGGCCCAGTAGGACACGTTGTGGATGTACACACCATATTGCCATACGTGGCCCAGTAGGACACGTTGTGGATGTACACCCCATATTGCCATACGTGGCCCAGTAGGACACGTTGTGGATGTACACCCCATATTGCCATACGTGGCCCAGTAGGACACGTTGTGGATGTACACACCATATTGCCATACGTGGCCCAGTAGGACACGTTGTGGATGTACACCCCATATTGCCATACGTGGCCCAGTAGGACACGTTGTGGATGTACACCCCATATTGCCATACGTGGCCCAGTAGGACACGTTGTGGATGTACACACCATATTGTCATACGTGGCCCAGTAGGACACGTTGTGGATGTACACCCCATATTGCCATACGTGGCCCAGTAGGACACGTTGTGGATGTACACACCATATTGCCATACGTGGCCCAGTAGGACACGTTGTGGATGTACACCCCATATTGCCATACGTGGCCCAGTAGGACACGTTGTGGATGTACACACCATATTGCCATACGTGGCCCAGTAGGACACGTTGTGGATGTACACACCATATTGCCATACGTGGCCCAGTAGGACACGTTGTGGATGTACACACCATATTGCCATACGTGGCCCAGTAGGACACGTTGTGGATGTACACACCATATTGTCATACGTGGCCCAGTAGGACACGTTGTTAATCTAATTAAAATCAAATCAAAGTTCTCGCTGCCGCTAAACAAAGATCTGAGGACATCCCATTACGGGTCACGTCAGAACGCCCTTTCGCGAACTTTGACCGACCACTGAAATGACTAACACAAAGTCGACATCAGCCAATTAGAAAGCAGTTTTCTCGAGCTTTACGACACTCGTTTCAACCGCGCGATTTCCTTTTCAGACTACGCTTGAAAAATATGCTGACACAGTTCTCGATTAAAATTTTGAAAAATGAACAAACGAACATTCCGGAAGATCTAATATATAGTTGAGATTGTATGGCAGTGTTTTCCGCTTACTGTGCAACGCCTCCTCCGTTCAAATGTTTATCCCACGGAAGTGAGAGATAGACGATAATTTTGACGAAATCAGTCGTATGGGCCGTAACTGTCGTTCGGAAAACCCCGTGTTAACGTTTTCGAGGTAGCGTGATCAGAAAACACATTCAAACTGTCACTTTCACGATCTGGTAAACTGATTGGTCGGATAAAAGGTCGTTCTTACGTGACCCGTAATCGGATGTTCTCAGATCTTTGTTTAGCGATAGCGAAAACTAAGATATGATTTTAATGAGATTGTACGCGTTGTGGATGTACACACCATATTGCCATACGTGGCCCAGTAGGACACGTCGTGGATGTACACCCCATATTGCCATACGTGGCCCAGTAGGACACTTCGTGGATGTACACCCCATATTGCCATACGTGGCCCAGTAGGACACGTCGTGGATGTACACCCCATATTGCCATACGGGGCCCAGTAGGACACGTTGTGGATGTACACCCCATATTGCCATACGTGGCCCAGTAGGACACTTCGTGGATGTACACCCCATATTGCCATACGGGGCCCAGTAGGACACGTTGTGGATGTACACCCCATATTGCCATACGGGGCCCAGTAGGACACGTCGTGGATGTACACACCATATTGCCATACGTGGCCCAGTAGGACACGTCGTGGATGTACACACCATATTGCCATACATGGCCCAGTAGGACACGTTGTGGATGTACACCCCATATTGCCATACGGGGCCCAGTAGGACACGTTGTGGATGTACACACCATATTGCCATACGTGGCCCAGTAGGACACGTCGTGGATGTACACACCATATTGCCATACGTGGCCCAGTAGGACACGTCGTGGATGTACACACCATATTGCCATACGTGGCCCAGTAGGACACGTCGTGGATGTACACACCATATTGCCAAACGTGGCCCAGAAGGACACGTCGTGGATGTACACACCATAGTGCCAAACGTGGCTCAGTAGGAAACGTCGTGGATGTACACCCCATATTGCCATACGTGGCCCAGTAGGACACGTCGTGGATGTACACACCATATTGCCATACGTGGCCCAGTAGGACACGTCGTGGATGTACACACCATATTGCCATACATGGCCCAGTAGGACACGTCGTGGATGTACACCCCATATTGCCATACATGGCCCAGTAGGACACGTCGTGGATGTACACCCCATATTGCCATACGTGGCCCAGTAGGACACGTCGTGAATGTACCCCCATATTGCCATACTTGGCCCAGTATGAGGCTGTATATTGTGAAGAGTGGGTGAGTGTGGATTAACGCCTTTAAACCAGTATTTCAGTTGTATGACAATGAGGCAACTTAATTTGTGGGAAGACCAAAGTGATGCAGTTCTCAGACCGTTACAGTTTTGTGATACCTACAAGTCCGGGTATGGTGCCGGCAAAATCTAGGGGGATAGGATCCTGGCACGCCTAAGGGGCGCAACTATGTACAGCCAATTGCAGCGCCTGAGACAACTGGGTAAACCGGTTTCCTGTCAGGTTACACAGAAGACACGGCCATACCATCAATTAAAATCAATGTGTTATTCTGCAGGTCGTCTCTAATCCTGATATAGAAACAGGTACGCTAAAGCAGTGTTACTGTTTTCTGTCTCCCTGTCTTTTATGCTACTCAACAGTGACAAATCCTGTGACGCCCCCGGTTACCAACCTATGCAGTGTGTTTAACAGATTGGCAATGATACCGTATTGTTACCGTATCCTCAAATCTAGTATCAATATAATATGCACACGTGTACCTACGCTATGAACATTCAATCATCCGGAGAATGGTAACGATGTTCACTAGAACGCTGTTTTCATTAGAGAAATCAATATGTGGACTTATGTTAAATACATTTCAAGGATTACCAGAGCAAAGGTGTTAAGGACAATACAGATAACTCATTTCACCTTATACCTTTGTACGCCACGCGGTACGTATACAGGGTGAACGTATCATGTGACCGGAATGCGCGTCAAGTGAGTGAGCTGTATGTACACAGTAGGTTTTCACAATTTTCCAGGCATTTGATTGTGTACAGGTTTTCCTGTACCGTTCTTTTTTCATAGTATACCGCCACTATCATCTAACATATCCTACGGTGGTCAATGTTTTCACTTAATTCGCAGGTATGTATAATATCAGTTATTTGTTGCGGGGTATATAAAAATCCTCGTAAATATATAAAACTCATGCAGTGTCATATACTATAGTTACATATAATAATGGTTTCTCCTTCGAACAAATATTACTGTTATTATAATAATTATTACAATTATTGTTATTACTGTTAGTTATTACTTTCATCAGCGTGGTAACTCTACTTGTTGTAGGTCATCCACAATATGCCCAGTAACCCCATATAGAAACGCACCAGTGTTTCCACTGTTCTGCCATGTTATTGTTTAAAGCGGTATTCACATCGAAGTGATATCGAAGTATTGCTATGTGGAATTCAGCACGACTTGTCCAGATACATCTATATTTGCTGTGCGGTATAAGTAACTGATTTCTTCATATGACGAGTTCAGTCAGCTGACGGTTTCAAACAACGCATATATGTCCACTTCTTTAAATTACGGTCTGTTTTAGACCTCTGAAATGCCTATGCATGTTTTAAGACGTTGTTATTTTTAATGTATATCATAATATATGATAAGAAGAATACGTGTATTGGTAATATGAAATACTGAAATATAGAATTACCCGTCAAAAGGTGTCTCGTTCATAAACGATTCCAAGAGAGGGCAATAATGTAGGGGGGTGACATGGCACGGGCATGCTCAGCTTGTGTAACCATATCGAACTGTCAACTCCTGCTCTCAGTTACGTTATGAAACAACCTATCTGACCAGAGATTGTCTTTTACTGAAAAGGAACAGATGAAGGAGTAAGCATATACTCCGAAACGTTGTGTTCCTCATAATAAAGAAGTTGACATCCATATACTCTCTCTCTCTATGATGTGTATCACTTCTAAATGCCATTCAAAGACCTGAACACAATAGTTCAAAGCAGCGTTGTCCACAACTCGCTCGTTCACTTTTCTTTTCAGTAATAGTGTGATTGCATTTGATGCATGCAAATTACATAAACAGTGAAGGCTATCACGAAATGTTAATATGCAAACGAAAACGTTCCCGTTTTATCTTTGTAACAGGTATGAACATTACGCTGTCGGTCCATTTCATTGAAAAAGGTGATGATCTGGCATGTGCTAATCCTGACTATAGTTGACGCCTCACTCGGATTTAAGGTATCAGTCCCATTAGTTTATTGCCTCATGACGGAATGAGGTAATACTCGAGGAGCAAGGCACAATCTACTTTCTGTTAGCCTAATGACTGTGAAGATTTGCTGTGTCGTGCCTAAGGATGTACAATGAACTGTGCGTGGTGTGAGGCGGGTGTTAGAACCTCCTGCCACTCTCCGGTCCACCAGTCGCCTGGGAGCCTCACGAGACCCTTGCTCAGTCCCCTCACTCAATATACAGACACAAGTGATGGCTCAATTGGACTCGCGCATGCGCACGTCACGTAGTGTGGTCCATTAAAATGAGACTTAAGTTGAGTAAGTTGTGAAGAAAGACGTGCCCAAGTTGGCAGGCGGTCGCCACGCACGACGGGTGCAATATATTGGCGGGCAGAGAAGAGAAATTAATATACACCTCGCCTCATCTCACTGGTCAAGTATGGAGCAGATCAGACCAGCAGTCATGACCTTTTTTGCTGGACAGTATCCTGCAGCTAATATTGCCCAAGGGTAAACACACTTGCAAAATTTACTTTCATTCACAAATTACAAGTTTCTTATAAATGCAACTTCGGTTATGCCTGTACACAGGTGAATAATTATGGACCTTTCATGTTCACATACCGTAGACAGTCAGCCTACAAGAAATGTTATTAAATGTCAAAATATAAAACACATTTTAATATCACAATTATGTTGGCTGATATTTCCAATAATTCGTCATATTCCTTTAATTTATAATGTTGCCTTTCAGTTTACATCTGGAGCGTCTGAGGTTTGGCTGCCAGCCACCCCCCGTGTTCACCCCCATGTTCCAGGGTATGATTCCTCCAGCTGCCCACATGAACTCTGCCCAGTCCCTCCAGCCTAGAATTGCCGCACCCACACCTACATTTCCTGGGGGTGGGTTGTGCGTCTCCCAGGAGGAGTTAGATATGGTACTCTATGGTTATGCCAAGGGGAAGACGGGCGACCAATATCACGGCCACGCTCTTTCTGGACTTAGGATAGGAGATATCAGTCATGGTAAGTTCTTTGTCATCAAGACTAATATTTAACACATTGTGCTTAAAATCTACACAACTTCCCTGTCTGTAAAGTACTGTCCAGATGTGTGGTATATGTTCATTGTCATTGTGAAAGGTAAACTAAGTTAACGGTAAAATAATTGTAGTTCGCATTAAAGAAACGACAAAACCGTGACGAGATTTTTTAAGCATACAAAGTTTTAGACCATGGACACATTTATGACAGCTTACATTATGCGCTAAAACCTCATTGACAGGGTATCCTAAATTACAGCCAAAATATGATTATGCCTTATAACGTATGGTTATGGAAAGCGTTTATTGATGAAATAGTTTTGTCGCTTTTATTCAAATATATAAAATGACCCGTCATAGAAATGTAATCTTCCAAACAACTGCAACTATACCTGGCCATGACGCTCCACTACACGTTCTGCACATTTACTTTAAGTTCACTGACAGCCGTTACTATAACGTTGGATCACATCAACGTCGGTTATTAATTTATAATATCACCGGAATACTTTACGTTCGTTTTAGGAACGTTTGCTATTTGTTTTTTTCGCTGAACTATCTGTTGGGTTAAACACATGTGTTGATTGAAATATATAATGTACACCTACATGTGAAAATTTGATAGCGTGCCGTATCGTTATCTCCGTTATTCTTAATTCAACAAAAGTGTTTGGTTTTGTCAGTTTCTCTAGTTTTACAAATAAATGTAACAAATTGGAAATGATATCTGTGTAGAGGTATAAATTTCGCTTCACACAGAAGTTAAAAATATTGTAGATGAATTTGTAAGACGGAGACAAGCTAGATGTGTACTTTTACATGCGTAGTTTTAGCCAATGTTAACAACTAAGATAAAATTATAAATACAATAAGAAGATATTTCAAGTTTTCAACAAAATATAGTTATGATTTATGGAATTAAGAAAATATTGAAATTACAGGGGTAAACTGATTAAAATTAAAATACGATGCATAGGAGCGGAAATGATACTCTTTTTTCATAGAAGCACTAGCTGCACCGGGATTATCTATGTTCAAAGAAGCGCAAGTAATACTTTTTGTTCAATTTGTCATATATGTATTTTAGTTCGGATCATGAAAGAAAGTGTCAATGATATTACGTCCTAAATACAAATACTATATAAACACCACGGAAACATAAAATCTATATGTTGGGTACATCAAACTACTGCTTGATTCTGATGTTAATCAAACTATAAGCATAAACATGTTTACTAACAAAGACATATTTCTGTGGTAAACGGGGTTGGTACTTTGAGTTGGCTGGCGATGATAGTGAGCAGCGCTCTACAACCAATCACAACCTAGTGCTTCAACGCCCACAAATCAATAGGATCAAAAAGCAGTGTGGCCGGCATCTTAATCCGGTGCTTGCATTGGGATGTGACATGGGATAGTTCATTCACAATTTAGAATAGCTGTCTGTGAAACAAAATTAAGACTTCATCAGGATAATTCGACGATCCATGATAAAATATGCGTGTTGTTTTGCTTGCACTGTAGGGTATGGTTTCCAGATAAAACCGAGTGGACGGAGATTACATGAACGAAAGTGCAATGGATTATTCGCCTTTGTTATATAAACACCAGTGTAACAACACGGTTATTTTCTGAAGAACTAAGTCTGAATAAGTGGTGGTAGACTGGACTTACGGAATTCGCCAAGGTTAGCATTGTGTGTCGCTTTTAGCGCTGCGGTGTGACTGTTGTGTTGTTGTAGGCTGCCCGGGGATGTTGGTGTTCTGATAGCTGTGACGCCTATACCCCACAGCGTACTCACTGTATATGAGTGATCATAATCACCTATACAAAGGTCACAAAACCTAGTTCCTGCTACGCACCTCTTTCCACGTAAGACATTGCCATAGCAAAACGTCTTCACGAATAAAATACTACACAGCAATATTGCCCTTGCAATATATAGCGCCATATAACTCATCCGTCACTTGTTGGATTTTCACAAAAGACAAACTATATATAGATATACTATATACACTCATCGTTGACGTGTGGCACAGACATATCCGACCTACACTCATATTAAACAGTTGACAAATCAGAAGTGCACAAGTTTTTAGCTGCTGTAAAGAGCCTTTCAAAATATGCATTTTTAAAAATAAAGTCACATAGTCTCACCCCTTACTGATTTAATGCGAATCATGAAAATAGCCGCCATAATTCGCTCATACACTAACATAATAAGGTTACATCGTAAATCTTAATTGCATGTGCGGGAATAAAACCTGCCTTACTCACGGGCAAACTGTGCTGTTTCGAGCTGAGAAGAACTATTAAGAGAAGAGTAGGACAGGACCTGCGAGGAAAAAAAAGAACCCCCTCCACAAAAGACAGACGACCTCCCCTCTAATACGGACGCCCCCCCCCCCCCCCCCCCCCACACCCCCTCCACTACAGACAGACAAACACTCCACTACTACAGACAGACGAACCCTACATTACAGACAGACGACCTCCCCTCCATTACACAGACAGACGACCTCCCCTCCATTACAGACAGACGAATAATATTCCTCCATTACAGACAGGCGAATCCTCCTCCACTACAGACAGACGACCTCCCCTCCATTACAGACAGACGACCTCCCCTCCATTACAGACAGACGAACCCTCCTCCATTACAGACAGACGACCTCCCCTCCATTACAGACAGACGACCTCCCCTCCATTACAGACAGACGAACCCTCCTCCATTACAGACAGACGACCTCCCCTCCATTACAGACAGATGAATATTCCTCCATTACAGACGACCTCCCCTCCATTACAGACAGATGAACACTCCTCCACTACAGACAGACGAATATTCCTCCATTACAGACAGACGACCTCCCCTCCACTACAGACAGACGAATATTCCTCCATTACAGACAGACGACCTCCCCTCCATTACAGACAGACGAATATTCCTCCATTACAGACGACCTCCCCTCCATTACAGACAGATGAACACTCCTCCACTACAGACAGACGAATATTCCTCCATTACAGACAGACGACCTCCCCTCCATTACAGACAGACGAATATTCCTCCATTACAGACGACCTCCCCTCCATTACAGACAGACGAATATTCCTCCATTACAGACGACCTCCCCTCCATTACAGACAGATGAACACTCCTCCACTACAGACGACCTCCCTTCCATGACAGACATAGCAAACATTACAAACCTACTCCATGATAGACATAAAAAACCTCCTCCATGACAGACATAAAAAACCTCCTCCATGTCAGGCATTACAAACCACCTCCATGACAGACATTACAAACCTCCTCCATGACAGGCATTACAAACCTCCTCCATGTCAGGCATAACAAACCTCATCCAAGACAGGCATAACAAACCTCCTCCATGACAGGCATAACAAACCTCCTCCATGACAGGCATAACAAACCTCCTCCATGACAGGCTTTACAAACCTCCTTCATGACAGGCATTACAAACCTCCTCCATGACAGACATAACAAACCTCCTCCATGACAGGCATAACAAACCTCCTCCATGACAGGCTTTACAAAACTCCTCCATGACAGACATAACAAAACTCCTCCATGACAGTCATAACAAACTCCCTCCATGACAGACATAACAAAACTCCTCCATGACAGACATAACAAACCTTCTCCATGACAGACATAACAAACCTTCTCCATGACAGACATAACAAACCTTCTCCATGACAGGCATAACAAAACCCCTCCATGACAGACATAACAAAACTCCTCCATGACAGACATAAAAAAAACCCTCCATGACAGGCATAACAAACCTCCTCCATGACAGACATAACAAACCTCCTCCATGACAGGCTTAACAAACCCCCTCCATGACAGTCATAACAAACCCCCTCCATGACAGACATAACAAAACTCCTCCATGACAGACATAACAAACCCCCTCCATGACAGTCATAACAAACCCCCTCCATGACAGACATAACAAAACTCCTCCATGACAGACATAACAAAACTCCTCCATGACAGACATAACAAACCTTCTCCATGACAGTCATAACAAACCCCCTCCATGACAGACATAACAAAACTCCTCCATGACAGACATAAAAAAAACCTCCATGACAGACATAACAAACCCCCTCCATGACAGATATAACAAAACTCCTCCATGACAGGCATAACAAACCCCCTCCATGACAGACATAACAAACCCCCTAACTGACAGACATAACAAACCCTCTCCATGACAGGCATAACAAACCCCCTCTATGACAGGCATAACAAACCTTCTCCATGACAGGCATAACAAACCTTCTCCATGACAGGTAAAACAAACCCCCTCCATGACAGATATAACAAGCCTCCTCCATGACAGGCATAACAAACCCCCTCCATGACAGACATAACAAACCTTCTCCATGACAGACATAACAAACCCCCTCCATGACAGGCATAACAAACCTCCTCCATGACAGACATAACAAACCTCCTCCATGACAGAGAGTCAGACAACCTCCCCTCCACTACAGACAGACGAACCCACCTCCACTACAGACAGACGAACCCACCTCCACTACAGACAGACGAACCCACCTCCACTACAGACAGACGAACCCACTTCAACGGGTCGCAGTTCACTGAGTAGAGTTGTGTCCCATGGGCATATTAGTGACATGGTCGTGAGTTTGAATCCAAGTTCGCTCTCATTATGTTTCTAGGTTTGTAGTTACACCCGCGCTTGTCGCCAAAGTGGTAAACGTCCAAGACCTGCATCATGTCGGGGTATGCTCCCACATCCAGTAATATAACTGAAATGCAGTTCAAAGCGGCGTAAGACCAAGTTCACTCAAATCTCACGACGCCAAAGACTGACTTGCCGACTCGATTCTTTATAGGCCGCCGTCATATAGCTGTATTATTGTTTACTTCCGCATACAATGTACGTTGCGTAGAAAATGACGAGTTGTATTTTTATTCATGTCTAACGTGTTATCTTTCTGAATATAATAATTCAAATTCTGTCAATTTGATCTACACCTATACTAATTGTAAATGTCCAAGGAAATACCGGTGTTGTTTCACAAACCCCCTTGGTTCTATTTCTTTTCATTTCAAGATTGCTATGAAAGTGGTAAAAGATTGAATGCTGTAGCTGAACCCACTGGGCTGGGTAATATCTATGTTGCTATGAAGATGGCGGTGTCAACACGAGAGGATGAGTGTCCACCTGTGCTGATGAAAGTGTTCTCTGTCATGACAAACATTATTTCCTTGCTTTATGATATGGTACATAACTTTACAAATTGGTACACTACATGAACTTAAATTATCTTTTAGTGCAAACTTTTATTTATTTACAATTAGCTACATTTCTCATTTTGATCATATTTAAGTTAGGTCAATTCAAATACATCAGTTTGATATAGGTGTATATTTTCCGTGAGATGATATATGAACTAGGCGGATTCCAGACAGAAAATGAAAACAGGATTTGGGAAATCTCACTGAAAATCTACTTTCGAATAAATCAAATGTATGTGTTTACAAGTTATTAAGGAAGATATATGTGTTTATGTTTTAAACTTAGGTCCTTGATGTAGACTTGGGGTATAAATCCTACCGCTGTTAACCTGTAATCTTCACTAGTGACATAGAGGATAAGCTGATAAACTAAGAATGAAGAAGAGAGAGAGGTTCTCGATAATAATAATAATAATAATAATAATAATAATAATAATAATAATAATAATGTATGGAAAGTTGATTCTGTTTCAAATCATGTATAATTCCGTCATGCACATTTCCATGATCCCCCGAATGACAAGTGTCCATCTCTTCCATACATGTATGTTCTCATTACCTCCGCCGCCCTTGTTTCAGATGTTGACCAACTCTGTACTCTGCTATCATATCATCGGGTTATTCAAACAAGATATTTATCTTTACCCATGAGCCGTCTGTTTAAGAAAATCGCATACGTTTGCTCACTTGTTTATCAGGTTAATGTAAGACACAATTTCGTTTTCGTCCATCAAACCGCAAACCGTATTGAGAAATTACACGGCAATGGAATGACTTAATGATCATATGCCACAGGTTTTATAGCAGTCTCTACTTACCTGTCATTTTCGCGAAATTGTCAGGCGTCATATTCAGCCTATTGTCAGCTCAACTGGTGGTATCGGAATTTTAACAGACTCCATAAAAATAGGTGAGAGTCGATCTTCATCCGAATCAGGTGTTAAAACACGTTGAATCAATGTCGTAAATAGTGTAACTGATGACCTCCCACAGTTGTACCACGTGTTCTCTAAACATAGTACAGCAGGTTCATTTTCAGTGTTCAGCTTTTAGCCGATGTAAACTAAAGATAAAAAAGTTGACATGGAGTTTGATGAACTGTAATATGAAAATATAGACCCAAAAGATGGCGCAGTTGCTTCTGTGTATTTAAATCTATTGTCAGTCATACAACCCCCAAAATATGTGTACTTTTAAAGTTTGCCCGAGGGACTGAAATGGAAACAATGATTCCATTGTACTTAATTACAAAAAATGTAATTTATGAAACCCCCAATTAGTAAACAGTTTCCTGTACTCTCTATAGAGCGACGGAAAGAAAGGTCATGGTTGCGACGTCCCTTGACGTGGCCTCGACTTCCACTACAGACAGACTTAAATCTTTGTAACAGTATTGTTTGTCTTGAATTATTTAAAAGGGATTCGATGCCCCGAAATCGCCTGGACTTTTCACTGCGTATGCATACTTTTTCTCATGAATCTTAGTTTATTTAAAACTATTTTAAAATATTGTCACAAATGTGGTGTTGGACATGATGAAGTGCACATAATATATTTTCATTTTGTTAAATATTTGAAATTCTATTCGGTTTGAGCTGCAGTCTTGTATTTGTTGTTTGAAAATGATCTCGGTGAGATACAATGAGCCGTGCATTATACCGGTGCATCTAAAAAACATATCTCACTTGCTAGTGTGTATGTTGCAGGTATTGACCGGATACTAGGTGGTCAAGTTCAAGTGGGGTTGAATCATGGGACCAAGGCTACACCGACCATTGTGCTTGATACAAGTTGCCTGGACCTCCCCGAAGGTACGTGTGAAACACACTCTACTCTCCAATTAAGTCATAGCCTGATCCATGCCTGGAAAAACCTTTAAAGTTCAAATGTTGCTTTGCTTTCACACAATAAATATCAATGTTTAGTCTAATCTCCACTAAGGGCTTTTCAGGCTGATAATGGTAATTAAACAAACAGAAAAAGATTGTGACGTGTAGCTGTCCCTTTCTTTGCTATTATGACAAGGCGGATTGTCTGGTTGTACACCTGGTCTAAACAAACGGAGCAGTAGAGGGACACGAGTTGTAATTGGCGGTGAGGTTGTGACAGCTACCCCTTGCTCTGCTCATGTCACAGACACTCTCACTCACTCCCTCCCTTCCCGTCGCGACTTGGATCTCCATTCAAACCTATTGTAGGCGACTCTCGTCGTTTATGTTATAACCAGCACAAAGAAAATAGAGAGGGACAGTCTTTATTCTTCATTTATAGTAAATTTGCACGGACGTGCAGCATTGAGTTGTTACAGCGTGTGAGAGCATAAACAAAACATATAATGAGATTCGAGGTGGTCTCCCTCAGACGGTTCTTAGATTAGGTTTTGCATTTTATAAACATTGAGCCATTTTTACAATCCCAATCGCTGAAAGGACACATGTATTACATTGTAAATCTTTAAAAAATGTATCTAAATGTTCTACCCTTGAGGTAAATGGTAGACTCGTAACTTACCACTGCATACTTCGTGAGTGAGTGAGTAAGTTTTTAAAGACCACTTTTAGCAGACCAAACATCATGACTGCTAGGGCCAACCAGACTGGGTGTAATGCACTGAGCCCATGCTTGGAATCCAACACTTTTCCTCAAAGTAGCCCCAGCGCCATATATAATGCCTCAAGATCTCTCGAAGATATCTGGGCAATGTTATCAGATTAGATGTGATTTAAACAATATTTATTTTTACTTGAATACAGTAAAAGGAGAATGATAAATAGACAAATCCGATATTAATATCTATCCCCATCAAAATTCAAACATGTTAAACAAGTGTTTAGACTTAATATTATATCATGTGATATATAACAATACATCAGGTAAACGGTGAAATATATATTAGAATACGAATACTTTGCTCATAGTGAGTGAGTGAGTGAGTGAGTGAGTGAGTAGTGAGGTTTTACGCCGCATTTCGCAATATTGCAGCAATATCACGGCGGGGGACACCACAAATGGGCTTCACAAATGTGTGGAATCGAACCCGTGCATTCGTCGTGAGGAGTGAACCCCTAACCACCAGACTACCCCACCGACCCAGTAAATAAATGATGTACGGAATCAATGATACTAAGAAAAGTTTCATTATTTATATTAACGTAGCCAGACAAGACGCTTCGAATGTCATATCCCTTAACATAATTGTAACTTTTGGATAATATCTCGGTATAATAAGTAAATATGTAATGTTAAGCACTTTCATATGAACATTCAGCATTATCACTTAAATAATCTTTCAGATTTTATTCATTTCAGATTAGATAATATGAATGGTTTCTAAAATGGTAATGGTAATAACATTTAATATCCAACATTTGCTGCAAGCGTATATCTTTGTATACAGTTTGATATTTGTGTACATGCATCTGAACAAGGAAATGGATTCATTGTCACTGGATTCATGTATTACTTTTGCAATGTTTGTATATTTGTTCTTAAATACTTTATCGTAATCACATCGTGATATTCATGTTCACTGAGGATGGATGTTCTTAACGACATAGTTTTAGATATTTTGAGTAATTAGAAGCACATTATGTTACTGCTGTCGAATACGCAAGTACTCTGTTGAATTATAATAAATATAGTAGTATTGTTAAACGTGACAAGCACCGTGTCTGTATAATATTTAATACATCACAACCCGACTGAAGTAGGTACATACACTTTTTTACACATTGCTATTTGTCTTTCTCACCTCTTTATTTGATCAATCAGAATGCCAGACGTGATACGCCCCCAGAATCCGTCATTCTATCCAATTACTGAGATGTTGGGAATGCAAATTTTAAATGTTTATTATGTGAACTGTTCAGTGTGAATATATTGTGTGATATATTTAAAAGTACGCTATGCATCGGGACATCATTGGTTATGTTACACAATATTGTTTATGTGCATTATAATTATTAATGAAATTGTTTATATAAAAGTACGGAGAATTTATGAAGCGGCAATACCCATGGGTCAAAAGAGGCCTAAATGTGGACGATCAAATCTTTCCATCTGAACCTTTGGTTTTAATAACTTTTTCCGTGACATGGCTAGCGTGGTGTTATCCCAAGGATGTCCAGGGACGGAACATGGCTCACTGCCCTCAATTGCTTGTTTTGAATCACTAGTACCAGTTGAAGCTGTTTCCGTAATAAACACGATGCTTTGATTCTGTTGGCACTAATACACAAACTGTGTGCATGTATGATCTTTTGACCAAGTCATCCATGGCAATACGACCGGAGAAAGGACACAGCTGTTCGCTTAAGTAAATTTGATCACCACTTTGATATAGTGAGGGATATTTGAACAAAAAAGACCATAGTTGTGAAAAAGGTGATACCAACATCCGACTTGGGACATATGTAGAGCTGTAGGCAACTTAATTTCAGGCTTAGTCTCAAGTCGAAAGGTCCGTAGGTGGTGAAGTCACGGAACTAAATCCTTCAGAATTAATGAAAATGTTATTGTAATTTGTCATGGTGTGTCATGCAAATTATCAAATATATTTCCAGATATAATATCATCATCTGAGACAATTTCTTTCCTCTCTTAGTACATGCAAATTCAAACAATAATGGTGCATATTAAAACTTAAAGTAATTTTTCAGTGGGGAATGCAGTATGTCCACCTAATTTGTAACCAGAATTGTTTACAAATGCCGCAGTAAATAACGTTGATCACAATCCATCGATTAACCTCAAATGCCTCCTTTCATGGAACAAGCGTATCAGAAGTTACAACATACAGATAATGATGTGGTTATAATTGCACATCAACTTGTCAGTTATTTTGCTGAGTGTTTACAATAAGCGTTCAATAAACACACGCAATTCTTGGACCAATTAACCCTTGTTAATCACGTTCAGGTCATTTAAAATCACATATGTTTCAGGTCAGTAGTTGATCAACAGCCTTAGGTCATTTGTAATTTGTGTGTTTCTCATCTTTCGCTGGTCCTAAAAATCTATAGAATATAATAAAACTGTAACAACCCATTCGCCCTCTTGAATTTTTAGTTTCCTTCTCTGGAACAAAACCTTACGAATTTCCCTTTTCATAAAATATCCTCGCTGTATTTTATCAGAAAGATCTTTGAAGGAGGGAAGTAATTGTACACTTGCGCTTTTTTTTTCTTCGTCTTTTGAGCCCTCAAAACCGACACAAAACCATTTCACTACGGATACCGAATACTGCCAACATCGATGCTGTGAGTTAATAAGAACATGCACTTTAAGAAACCATTTATGGACGAAAGGTAACAACAAGACTTTTGACGATACAAGACTAACTCACGACTTCAACTCAGGATAACAAGACTTTAACTTACGATAGCAAGACTTTAACTCATGATAACAAGACTTCAACTCACGATAACAAGACTTTAACTCACGATAACAAGACTTCAACTCAGGATAACAAGACTTCAACTCACGATAACAAGACCCTAACTCACGATAACAAGACTTCAACTCACGATAACAAGACTTCAACTTAGGATAACAAGACTTTAACTCACGATAACAAGACTTCAACTCACGATAACAAGACTTCAACTCAGGATAACAAGACTTCAACTCACGATAACAAGACTTTAACTCACGATAACAAGACTTCAACTCAGGATAACAAGACTTTAACTCACGATAACAAGACTTCAACTTAGGATAACAAGACTTTAACTCACGATAACAAGACTTCAACTCACGATAACAAGACTTCAACTCAGGATAACAAGACTTCAACTCACGATAACAAGACTTCAACTCAGGATAACAAGACTTCAACTCACGAAAAGACTTTAAATCAGAATAACAACACTTTAACTCAAGATAACAACACTTTAACTCACGATAACAAGACTTTACCTGAGGATAAAAGAAGTGTTTAACACACGATGACAACAAGACTTCAGCTCACAATAACAAGACTTTAACAACAGACAACATATCACTTTATCATAAACCAAAGGCAGGACTCCGCCTCCTCTGAAGTTGAACTTGGCAATTAGAAACACTCGCAAAAACAATGAGGGCATCATACCCAGATATATTGTCTCATATTCACATTTTCAGTGATCAAATCTGACCCAAGTGACGAAATGGGGCACGAAGCCCTTCACCATTGCACTTCTATATTCTGGACAACGATACAGTTGACGGAACAGCCTTTGTTTTGTTTGGTTGTTTGTTCTTTAAAGTCGCACTCAGAAATATTCCAGATATATGACCGTGGTCTGTAAATAAATGAGGCTGGATCAAACAATCCATAATCGACAACATGAGCAACGATCCACTCAACTGGGATACGATGACATTCAATCAACCAAATCACCAAGCCTTACCACCCGACCCATTCGGCCGCCCCTTACGACAAGTATAGGGTATTTTCTTGTAATTTCTACATTTCTAGATGATCGCTGACAAAACTTATATAAATAGATCTAGTTACAGTATATAGAAAATCAGTTCAATGTAATCACAGTTCTTATGTACATACACACGCTTCTGTTGGTTATAGAATGCACAAAGATCCATCTGTTTAACCTTATGTACACCGTGGACGCGGTGTATTTCAATGCCATTGGCTGAGAACTGATGGTTCAATGCTGGAGATAAGTTATCCGCTGCTTACTAAGTTGTGCATGTGTTTCCCAACCTCCTAACATGTTGGCTGCAGATCAACACTGTATGTTAGTTTGTACATACAATTAAAGAAACACTTTATGAGAAAGAATTGATCAGAAGTAGAATCATATATAGC